TAATTATAGGAAAGTCTCCAATTTGCATTGTTTGAGGCATATTATTATACTCTCCGATTGTTTGATATAGGCATGAACTACTGCAGTCACTTGACTAGACCACAGCGAAGGGCACAAAGTATATATATATGTGCATGTGTGTGTGTGTGCTTGGGTTGCTCATTCTGTTTGAGATTTCCTCATTATTTCCCTTTCTTGGTGGTGGGGTTCATGGATATCATACGTCTGAGAAAATGTTAATTGTTTTGTAGATATTTTTTTTAAGAGATAAGAATAGAGAGAGAGAGAGAGAGGGAGGGAGAGAGAGAGAGAGAGAGAGAGAGAGAGAGAGAGAGAGGAGAGAGAGAGAGAGAGAGAGAAAGAGAGAGAGATCAAAGAAAGGAATGATAACCCCCTCCCCCGAAAAAAACGAATACAAAAAAGAAAAACTACACACACTTCCTCTATCCCCTTACCTCCCCCACACCCACCCACCCAATCTTCTCCACCCCACGAACCTACCCCCAACACCCCGCAGAACCCGTCTCCGCTCCTGCAAGCATCCTTCGTGAACCGCCTCTTCTTCTTCTGGAGCGGTTCCATCGTGTGGCGAGGCTGGCGACGCCCTCTCACGCCCGACGACCTGTGGGACTTGGTGCCCGAGAACACGACCGCCACTCTCGCCGCTCAATGGGAAGCTGCCACCAGGTAATGGGCCTTTTATGTGGCGGTTGGGAGTAGAGGTTCGTGGAAGTCATACGTCTGAGATAATTAGTTTATTGTTTTGTAGACGATTTTTTAGAGATAAGAAGAGAGAGAGAGAGAGAGAGAGAGAGAGAGAGAATAGGAAGTTGCCACCAGGTAACGGGCCTTTTATGTGGCGGTTGGGAGTAGAGCAGCGTCATGGAGGTTTCTTGTTGGTGGGGTTCATGGAAATCATACATCTGAGGAAATTAATTTACTGTTTTGTAGATGATTTCTTAGAGATAAGAAGAGAGAGAGAGAATGGGAAGCTGCCACCAGGTAACGGGCCTTTTATGTGGCGGTTGGGAGTAGAGCAGCGTCATGGAAGTTTCTTGTTGGTGGGGTTCATGGAAATCATACTTCTGAGGAAATTAGTGTATTGTTTTGTAGATGATTTCTTAGAGATAAGAAGAGAGAGAGAATGGGAAGCTGCCACCAGGTAACGGGACTTTTATGTGGCTGTTGGGAGTAGAGCAGCGTCATGGAGGTTTCTTGTTGGTGGGGTTCATGGAAATCATACTTCTGAGGAAATTAGTGTATTGTTTTGTAGATGATTTCTTAGAGATAAGAAGAGAGAGAGAATGGGAAGCTGCCACCAGGTAACGGGCCTTTTATGTGGCTGTTGGGAGTAGAGCAACGTCATGGAGGTTTGTACCCTGTGGATAGGTTTTATTAGGGAGGTTGCGGTGTTGGAAATAAGGCAACTATGGGGGTTTTCCGTCAAGAAATGGGTTGTATTATGGGGTTTGTGGTGTTGAAAATAAGGTAACTTTAAGGGGGTTTTCTATGAAGAAATGGGTTGTATTAAAGGGGTTGTGGTGTCGAAAATAAGGTAACTTTTATGGGAGTCTTCTATGAGGAAATTGGTTGTATTATGAGGGTTCTGGTATTGGAAATAAGGCAATGTTGTGGGTATTATTGCTTTGAGTGAATGGCTATATTATTTTGTGTTGTCAGGAATAGAATAGCATGGGAAATGGGTTGTGTTATGCGGTCTGTACTGTTAGGTAGAGGGGTGATTTTGTGGGATTTGTGATGTGAGGAAATACGTAATATTATGGTGTTTGTGTCGTTTGAATTAGGGCAAGAACAGGGTTTGTGTTGTCAGGAATAAGATGATGAATCAGAGTCTTTCTTTTATCGATAATAGGGAAAGAGTTTTATTTCTACGTGTGTCAAAGAAAAAAATAGAGCTTTGTGTCTTCAGGAATGAACTAAAGGAACTTATTACCAAAAAAGATAAATTAATTGGATATACATTATTGATTATGATACAAAAGGCTCCAAATATCTTAAATTAATTGGTTATGCATCGAAGATTTTGATAAAGAGTCCTCCAAATATCATAAATTAATTGGTTATACATTAAAGATTTTGCCACACAGGGCTCCACTCTAAATATTAAATTAATTGGTTACACATTAAAGATTTTGATACAAAGGCCTCCACTCCAAACATCTTAAATTTATTGGTTACACATTAAAGATTTTGACACACAGGGCTCCAAACCTCCTTAAACACTGATAAACAATATCCAAATACCTCTCCTCCAGCACCAAATCCTCGGCCAAAAAGGAGAAAGACAAACACAGCGAAGTCAAATTCACCAGCTTGCCCTCATCGGAGAGCCAGGCGCCCATCCTGCTCAGCCTCTGGAGGATGTTTGGCAAGCCGTTCATCCTCCTGGGGGCGATCTACCTGCTGGCGGAAGGATCGCGGTTCGTCACTCCACAGTTCTTGAGGTGAGTGGAAAGAGAGAGAGAGAAAGAGGGAGGAGGGAGAGAAGGAGGAGAGAAAGGGAGGAGGTAGAGAGAGAGAGAGGGAGAGGGAGGGAGAGGGAGAGAGAGGGAGAGGGAGGGAGGAGGAGAGAGAGGGAGAGGGAGGGAGGGAGAGGGAGGGAGGAGAGAGAGAGAGGGAGGGAGGGAGAGGGAGGAGGAGAGGAGAGGGAAGGAGGGAGAGAGAGGAGTGAGAGGGAGGAGAGAGAGGGAGTGAGAGGAGAGAAGGAGGGAGAGGGAGGGAGGAGAGGGTAGAGGGAGAGGTGAGTGAGAGAAAGATAGATAGATAGATAGATAGATAGATAGAGAGGCTTAAAAAGAGAGAGGGGGGGGGGAGGGAGAGAGAGAAAGAAAGGGAAAAAGAAAATGAGAAAAACGAGAGAAAGAACATGAGATAATATAGAAAAAAGAGAGAGTGAAAGAAAAAAGACGAAAAAAAGAGAAAAGAAAAAATAAAAGAAATTGAGAGGAAGAAAAGAAGAAAAAAGAAAGTCTACGGTAGACCACACCCGCTTTCATTACGGTTTGCAATGTCGATGAAGAATATAAGCTAACTTTTTTTTTTATCATATCTCTGTGCCATGTGTTACAGCCACCTAACATGAGGTATGCAGTACTATGTTTTTTTATTATTATCTAATGTCCTAGAAGATTTATTGATGTTTGAAATTTGGAATGCAATATTGCACAATGACCACATATTAAATTATGATAATGGTGCAGCTTACCCACGCCTGCGCAGTTAACCGGGGTGGCATATACACTTATAGAATAAAATGGTTTGGGATAATTGAATAGTCAACCACACACTTCCTCAGTTTCCCAATTTCCTCAGTTTACTCAATTTCCTCAATTTCCCAAATTCCCTCAGTTTCCCAATTTCCTCAGTTTACTCAGTTTCCTCAATTTCTTCAATTTCCTCAATTTCCCCAATTTCCTCAGTTTACTGAACTTCCCCAATTTCCTCAGTTTCCTCAATTTCCAGCCTCGTTATAACCTTCATGGCGGACGAGCAGCAGCCTCCCTGGCACGGCTACCTGTACGCTGTGTCTCTGTTCCTGTCCTGCATCGTCTCGACTCTCCTCAGGAACAAGTTTTATTTCAAGATCACCGTCCTTTCGGTTCGGATTCGGTCCATCATCATGTCGGCGGTTTACAGGAAGGTCAGTTGGGGCTCGAGAGGTCAAGCACCTTGTGTAGTTAGAATGCATACATACGTGCACATTGCAACGGGAATAACGGAGGGAAGGACAAGAAAACACGCGAATATTCGTATGTTTTTTTTGTTTCTTCCTTTCGTCGTTCCTGTTCCTGTATGTGAATTCCATATACATGCACATATACGCGCAGGAACCACAGATTCACTCTCAAACCTGCTCGTGATTTTTAAAAGAAATGATAAAGTATCGTTTTCTTTATGCTTTGTTCATATATTCCCAATTTTTATCGTAGCCATTTCCTCTTCTCTTCCTCCCTGTTCCCCCCTCCCCCCTCCCCCCCGACCCCAGGCCCTCAGTCTCTCCGGGGCGGCGAGGCGGGACTCCACCCTCGGCGAGATCGTCAACCTGATGGCGGTGGACGCGCAGTGCATCGGGGAAACAGCCATCCTGCTCTGGAGCCTCTTCGGGGCGCCCGCCATAATCCTCGCCACCATGGTCTTCCTGTGGGAGGAGCTGGGTAAGGTTTCTCCAGGGGAGGAATGATGGCTGCGTGTTTTGTACTTTGTATATGCACAGTGCACGAACATTCATATGCAAAAGCATACGGATATACATATGCAAACGCGTACGCAGCCAGACAGACACACACACACACACACACACACACACACACACACACACACACACACACACACACACACACACACACACACACACACACACACACACACACACACACACACACACACACACACACACACACACACACACACACACACACCACACACAACAACAACAACAACAAAAATCACCAACAATGATAACCAGAATTACAACCCCAAAACCCCTCTTATCACCATCACCAACACGAATAAAGTCCTCGCCCTCTCCCTCCTGCAGGCGTGAGTGTGCTGGCCGGGGTCGCTGTCCTCTTCCTGATCGTGCCTCTGAACAGCTACTTGTCCAACAGAATGAAGAGTTTGCTGTTCGCTGCTCTCAAGTTCCGCGATCAGAGAGTCAAGATGGTGAGCGAGATCATCAGCGGGATAAAGGTGAGTCTTTGCCATGCTGATCAATCTCAGGAGAGGAGACACTGGTAAAGTCACTCCGATTTCTTGACAGGAGAAAATCAGGTGGTTTTGAGGGCGGTAGGTCTCAATAAAAAAACTACTGGAAATATTTGTATAAATGCTCGAATTTTCAGACCGTGCCAGATAATTAGAATGAAAAACAGACTAGTCGTATTGAAGTACTCTATAAACTGAAATGAGTTGCCAGTTATTTCTTTCCTGAAATTGGACGAGCTACAGTATCAACCAGTGGGTTACAGAGAGTTCACAGGGGGTTGCAAAGCCTTCGGGAAAGTACAGTAGACTAACTGCCTTCACTCCTTTGATGCGCAGTCTGTGTCAAGTTTGAATTTGAAGCAAAACCTTCTCGAATGCAAATGTATTTTAAACACTTGCTGAATAGAAATTGACCTGGTTTTACAAGCTATTTTTTTTCTACTAGAGTTTTATAGTCTATTCACGTCTGCTCATGCTAAGCTCTGTCTTGAAGGAGTACTGCAGTATAATTAGAAGAATAAAGCTTGTACAGACTATGATTTTTTTTCTTTTTAGTCCGAAATTGTATAATTAAAAATATATATAAATAAAAAGGCTAGTAGGGTGGTGGAGGTCGCTAGTGTGTATAAGGTTCGGCAAAGGGATCACAGATGTAAAAAGGGCGGACACCACTGCCCTAATGCGTTTGAAATATAAGGGTATGTCAAGAAAGTGCTGAGCTAGCCCTTGCATGGGAGTTTGGGATTCAAAAGCAAATCATCAATCAATCAAAAGATATAGTGAATGTTACTTACAGGACATGAGACAACGAAGCTTAACTGTAATACTAAATATGTATCTCTGCCTGAGTATGTGTGTATAGGTGCGCACATGTGTGAGCTCCCGCATGTGTGTGTGTGAGAGTGTGCGCATGTGTGAGTGCGCGCATGTGTGTGTGAGAGAGAGAGTGCGCACATGTGTGTGTGTGAGTGCGCGCATGTGTGTGTGTGAGTGCGCGCATGTGTTTGTGTGTGTGAGTGCGCGCATGTCTGTGTGTGTGTGAATCCTTATAGCAGTTGTGCTAATGCATTTGTGTTTAATACATATACTTGCCCACACAATCCCTGACCACCTTGCCATCGCCTCCCGCAACCACAGGTCCTGAAGCTCTATGCCTGGGAGGGCTCTTTTGCCAACAAGGTGAAAGAAGTGAGGAATGAAGAAATAAGACTCTTGAAGAAAGTGGCTTTCCTCAAGGCTTTCAACTCATTCATCTTTAACAGCTCTCCATGCATGGTAAGTTATTAAAGCCTCATGTCTTGGCTATATTCATTATAAACTATATTAATTCTTTCATGTAACAGGATTATTTTCAAATTGTGTTATATTATCACAATATTCCCCGTCATAACAAATCAAATATAGTTATATATTAAGTAACACAATATCTTCTATATATACGAGATACACAAACAAAAGGATATTTCTGGATCACTTAAACTTCATCAGTGATTGTAGAAAGTTATTTATATATACCATTTCTTCTTAGGTTGCCCTAGCTTCATTCACAACCTATCTGTTGGCTTCCCCAGACAACGTACTAGACGCCAAAAAAGCTTTCGTAGCCATCTCACTCTTCGATATCATGAGACTCCCCATTGTCATGCTGCCCACTACCATCTCACAGGTTATTCAGGTAATGCTTTCAGTAACCTTGATTTCGTTTTTGCCTCTTGCCTAGTCTCTCCTGAGGAATGCCAGTATTTACTTCTGTAAATCTTGAAACATGAATCTTTTCTTTCTTATCTTCGGCAGGCACTTTCCTTATCCTTTATTTAAGGATGCATGTAATATGATGCACTATATAATGAGTCCGTTTTCCTCCGTGGAATGAAAAGGTATTGGTCTCTCTTAATGAAAGGGAATGTTGGACTTAGGACACTAATAGCTCTAGTTGACGTAGCATGTATTTTGTAAAAAAAAAAAAAAGAAAATATGAATAACAAGTCAATCTTTCTTGGCCAAAAGGCAATGGTAGCTTTGAAACGGGTCCAGAACTTCATTTCTGCTGAAGAAGTGGACCCGACAGCGGTGACCTGGGATCGGTCCGAAGGCAAGTAATTACTTTCTATTCTTCAATCTTCTATTTTTTCGTATACAGTTCTCCCCTCGTAATGTTATATTGGTTTTAAAATTATGATGTTATTCGTGAATTTAATATATTCTTCACTGATGCTTAGCTTTGTTTGAGTAATGCCAATGCAATATGGAAATGAAATTCTATTCAAGGGACTATAAAAATGTATCCATCTTTCGTTCTCTATATACATATATAAGAAACAAATCCTAGGGAGATGAGTTATATTGTTTTGTTGTATCTGAATCGTGAGATTTTTTCATATGCCAGAGATCATCCAGAGTTTAAACATGCTCAAATTTTGATTTGGAAGTATTCTCTTTTAATGACACCGAGAGAATAAACAGTAAAAATATCTTTTCCCTTTGATGATGCTTGCTCACAGAAACTAGTTAAATTAATCTTTCTCCCAGTTACGAAAAACTATAATATATACCCTTACCTTCCAGCTGCTGCTGTGATCATACGCGGAGGTCAGTTCAGCTGGGAAGGCGGCGAGCAGCAAATTACGTGGAGGCTGGAAGACATTAACTTAGAGATCGGCCACAAGAAACTGGTGGCAGTGGTGGGATCCGTGGGCGCGGGCAAGAGTTCGCTCATCTCGGCGCTTTTGGGAGAGATGAAGAAGGTCGAGGGGAAGGTTGTGGTTAATGTAAGTGATGAAGGATTCTGATAGGCTTTATGGTTTACATTTACATGATGTAGGATTTACTGTGGCATTTTTAAAAGTGGAAAACAAATTGATAATGTAAAAAGTTGTGAGTAATAAGACAATGTTTAACCATATTTAAATCTGAAAAAAATTATCAATTTCCAAAGAGAATGAATGTATTATTAAACTGACAACCTATATATGATTACTTCAATAAATTTCCTTTCAAGTAATATGCCCGACTGCCTGTTACGCCAACAGGGCCGCATGGCATATGTGTCCCAACAGGCATGGCTCCAGAATGCGACCTTGAGGGACAACATCCTGTGGGGTCAGCCCTTCGATGAAACGAGGTACAAGAAAGTGGTGAAAGCCTGTGCTCTTCAGCCGGACCTGGACATGTTGCCAGGGGGTGACATGACGGAGATAGGGGAAAAGGTAGCTAGTCATTCCCTGTATAGCTGTCAACCTATTTGTGTGTGTGTGTGTGGATGTATCTGTGTGTGTGTTTGTTTGTACACACACACACACACACACACACACACACCACACACACACACACACACACACACACACACACACACACACACACACACACACACACACACACACACACACACACACACACACACACACACATATATATATACACATATATCTATTAACATACATAAATATATGTATATATATATATATATATATATATATATATATATATATATATATATATATATATATATATATATGTATATATATAAACACGCGTACACGTGCATATCGATCTAAATGAATATATGAACAGACACACACATAATGGGATATATGTAACATATACATATTTCTCTCTTTACCTATAACGGCCCCACATAATTGCCTGAACTCCAAGAGCATTACAACTCTTTAAATGAGACAGCAAAATCCCTCCAAGCCTCTCTATCACAAAAGAAAACAAAAACGAATAGGGCAGTAACAGTGAAGACAACCCTTCACAAACTGACTCTAAAAGGAACCAAAAGACTGGATACTAATCCTCTTCAATACCACACAGGGCATCAACCTCAGCGGCGGCCAGAAGCAGCGCGTGTCCTTAGCCCGAGCCGTCTACAGCGACACTGACATCGTGCTGCTCGACGACCCCCTCAGTGCCGTCGACGCTCACGTGGGACGCTTCATCTTCGACAACGTTATTGGGCCTCAGGGCATTCTGCGAGGGAAGGCGAGTGTCTGTTGGTGTAGGGTAGGGTGTATGGGATATAGATTTGTGAGTGGGAAGGTAGGAAATTGTGTAATTTGTGCAAAAGGTTGAATTAAGAATGAAATATATGTAGGTAAGATACGTCTACACGTTGCTTCGTGGGTAGCAACCTGAATATCACCAAATAATGTACAGAAATGCTAAACAAAATCTCCTAGACCCCTCTCGATCCCTCTCATTCGACCTTTCACCTGACCTCACCTGACCTTGACTCACCAGACCCGCCTCCTGGTGACTCATTCCGTGACCTTCCTGCCGAGCGTGGACGAGGTGGTGGTGATGAGGGACGGGCGGGTGGTGGAGAGAGGCTCGTACCCTGACCTTGTGGCCAAGCAGGGCGACTTCGCGAACTTTGTCCTTCAGCATATCAACGACGCCAACGACGAAGAGGGGGAGGAAGGTGAGAGAGGAGAGAAAGATAAAGAATTAGGAGAAAAAAGAGGATTTTTTTCAGTAATAAAAAAGACGTCGGGAAAAGGCAAAGAATTAGGAGAAAAGATTTGTTTAGTCATAAAAAGACGTTGGAAAAAGACAGTTTTTTTAGGAATTATGAGGAAAAAAGAGGATATTAGTATCATCTAAACCTGTCCTTTTTCGACTGCCTGGCTCTTGAATTGATGTTTGCTGCATTCCCCGATATAACTGCCAACAATTTTCTTCTTTTTCATATTCTGTTTTTTTAAATGTTAGTCGGCATCTGAAAGAGCCATTGTCTCCTTTTCTCCGTTGTCTGTAATTTTTCATTACCATTTATTTATCTATTTTTATTCATTTCATTGGTCTTTTATCTATGCAGAACTAGAGGAGCTTCGGGAACAGCTGGACGAGGTGCCAGGCGCTCAGTCCCTCCTTCGCCAGCTGTCCATCAGGTCCAGCGGAACCACGGTCAGCAACCCCGGCAGGTGAGGCTTCCTTGGACGGTCGTGCGGTCACCGTTCGGTAGAGGGATAAAGAAGGACGCATACACATAAAAATACATGCAAACATACACGCACGCACGAACACGCACACGCGCACGCTCTTGCTCGCTCGCTCGCTCGCTCACTCACTCACTCACTCACTCACTCACTCACTCACTCACTCACTCACTCACTCACTCACTCACTCACTCACTCACTCACTCACTCACTCACTCACTCACTCACTCACTCTCACTCACTCACTCACTCACTCACTCACTCACTCACTCTCACTCACTCACTCACTCACTCACGTACTCACTCACTCACTCACGTACTCACTCATTCATTCATTCATTCGTTCACTCACTCACTCACTCACTCACACCCACATTCCTTATTATTCTGTGTTCTCTAGTTTTCGTTGAATCACCACCATGTTCATACAGATCAGTTTTCCTCCTAAAGTGCCCAGTTCCTAATACAATCGAAATACAGTTAAAATACAGACACGTATAAATTTCCTATATATGTTAGATGCGAACATCCACTGGTGTCTTCTAATGCTTGATCTTGTGAAACTTTTTTGATTGTTAATAATGTATAAAATGTGTTCGTCTACATTAGCCTGTACCACATACACTCAGGTGAAACTATATTGCAAATCCTATTAAATCCTGTGAATTCGTTAAAAAAGATTAATTCAACTATTAATAAATAAAAAAAAAAATTCCCTTTTCCCGAAATCCTTACCCCCCTCCCCCTCCCCCTCCAGCACAGCCCCCACCGGCATCCCCCACAAGAGAGTCCGAAGCGTGAGCGAGTCCTACTCCCGCCACCAAAACCTCGTCCGCAAGTCCAGCTGCTCCTCCTTGAACGTTCGAGGACGAGACATCGCTGACGTCATCTCAGACATCAGCGTCTACAGCCACCTCTTCGACGAGGACGTCAAGACTTCGAAGAACGCCCTCAACGAGAGTAGGACTTCGTTGCACAGCAGTAAGAGCCGGAGGAAGAGTGTGGAGATGGAGGACCTTCGGAACGTGTCTGAAGGAGGCGAAGCGACGGTCAAGGGGCAGAGGCTGGTGATGGAGGAGACTTCGGAGACGGGCAAGGTGAGGCAGGGGAGGAGGGACGGGCAAGGTGAGGCAGGGGAGGAGGGACGGGCAAGGAACTTGGTATTTTCGTCTTTGGGTGTCTCTTAATCTTGAAGATAGTGAATACCCTTAAAATCAGTTTGTTTTGTAAACACACACACACACACACACACACACACACACACACACACACACACACACACACACACACACACACACACACACACACACACACACACACACACACACACACACACACACACAGAGAGAGAGAGAGAGAGAGAGAGAGAGAGAGAGAGAGAGAGAGAGAGAGAGAGAGAGAGAGAGAGAGAGAGAGAGAGAGAGAGACAGTTAGAAACATATACAGATACAGAGAACGACGGACAGAGACGAATTACATTCATAATCAACCACCTTAATTACGAAAAAATAAAAAAATAAATATCGCACGTATTCAACAGGTATCGCGGAAAATGTACCTGGTGTATGCGAGTTCAATGGGCGTCGTCCTTGCCGTCTTACCTGTGATATTTGTAGCCCTCGGTCAGGTGAGTCGACTGAAACAGTATCCCATTTTGTAGTTACATATTACCAAAGAAAAATGTATTTAATGGAAAAGATATTGGTCTTAAAAGTGTAGAGATAAAGACCTTAAGCTTTAAGATGGTCAGTCTTCTTTTTCAGGCAAGCATTGCAGGGAGCAACATATGGCTGTCGCATTGGTCGAGTCCCAACGTCGGTACAGCTTCTCCTCTCAACACCACTTCGACACTCAACACCACGTATAATCCCAGCACTGTCTTCAACGCTGCTCTCCCCAACACCACTTCTGTAAACGACACGTATGGATATAACACCACCTCTCTCTTCAACAAGAATCCAGGCAGCTTGAATAGCACCTCTGAGGGTACCAGTGTCTCCAGGGGTGTTTTTCTTACCCTTTACGGAGCCTTTGGTATTGCCCAAGGTAAGGTGCTCTCTTGGTGGGGTCTAGCGTGGTATAGTAACATACAATAACGGAGTCTTAGATTGTTGTTATTGTTATCATATTTGTTATCAATGTTATTATCAGCTTTAATCATTATCGTTGGTGTTATTATTATTATTGATGTTTTTATTAATGTGACCATTCCCATATTTTTCCATGATATCACTATCATTATAACCATTATTAGCACCATCATTTTGATCATCGCCGCTTTCGTCTTCGTCATCGTCATCGTCATCATCATCATCGTCTTCGTCATCGTCATCGTCACCGTCATCATCATCGTCATCGTCAACCAGACCAAAATCAAATCGAACCCTAGTCTTCTTCATTCTTTCCCCCCCCCCCCCCCCCAGCCTTCTTCTTCCTGTTCCTGGGGATGCTGTCGCTGATGCTGGGCTGCCTCCGGTCGTCGCGGGTCCTCCACCAGCGCCTCCTGGACAGCGTGGTGCGTCTGCCCATGAGCTTCTTCGACACCAACCCCAGCGGGAGGATCATCAACCGCTTCAGCAAGGACATCAACGTCTTGGACAACACCTTCCCTGACAATCTGAGGAACTTCGTGGGTTGTTTCATGCAGGTTGGAGTTGAAGGAAATCAGTTATTGTTTATTTATTTATTTATTTATTTATTTGATTTTATTATTATTTTTTTTTTTTGGGGGGGCTACGTGGGGCTGGAGTGAATTTTTTTTTTTTAGAAGTATGTAGGTTTGGGTTGTGGTAGACCTATGTTGTTTTGTGCTGGGAATGGTGGTATCTTTTATTTGAATAGGGTTGTTTAGGTTGAAATTGGGTTATGTGAGGGGTAAAACGACTATGTTATTAACGTATTCGCTTGTGGATTCACTTATACCCTATTTAGATTATTGATATGAGGCAGTAGATTAAAATGAAAATTTGGGATGAATTGGTAATTTAAGATCGACTATCGATTTGCGTTATTTTCAATATAAATTGTCTAGTCTAGCAATGCCTAGATTTAGATATGATGATATAATAGTTATCACTTCATGAGGAGATGGTTACGTGTGGTCCTCATATCAGTCAATCTGTATATCTATCCAAATTTCTTTGTCTGTACTATAAATCCATACAACTGTCTTAACAAATTTCTATATCTACTTAACTCTTTATCTACAAATCTACAGCATGACCTACGTGTTTTTATGTGCATGAACGCCTGTATGAATATGGGTATACATGAATACAAACGTAAACACGAGGACCCACCCACACTGCCTTGATCTCCAGGTTGTTGCCACCCTGATAGTGATCGTGGCTGCCACCCCCGCCGCCGGCCTCTTCGTCCTGCCTGTGATGCTGCTCTATTACCTCGTCCAGGTCATCTACATCGCCTCCTCCAGGCAGATGAAGCGCATTGAGTCCGTGTCTAAGTCCCCTATTTATTCCCACTTCGGTGAGACTCTTCAAGGTGGGTGGGTGAGGATTCCTTTGGTTTTGAGAAAATTGGGGGGAGTTGTGGAATTATGGACACTAAGGAGGTTCTGGAATAAAGGCATAGAGGATTTTCTTGGGGTGAGTCTGTGGGATAATATCTTCAGGATAGAGAATATGGATATTTAGGACCCTCCTGGTTGTCCATAACCTTGTCTTAATATCTATCGATGTGGCCATATTTATCTCCTTTTCAACCTTGGATCGGCTTAGTCGCAACAATCGTCATCGCTAATCGCAAAATCGACTGTTTTGTGATTTCTGTGCCACAGTCTCTTGTCCGCTTATAAAAAAAAAAAAAAAGTTTGGTAAAATTTGAGCCATGTATATATTGTATATATTAATAAAGGCACAGCTTTTCAGGAAGCGATGGTTGATTAATAGTATTTGTCTACAGGAGTGACAGTAATCCGAGCTTATAAGAGACAAGAAGAATTCAACGAAGAATCCCAAAGGAAGATTGAGTTTTCTCTAAAAGCTACTTATGCGAACGCCGCAGTGAATAGGTAATTTCGAAAAAATCAAGTATATATATACGTTTTTGATAATTTGTTGAATTAAAGGAAATAAATATGTCAATCGAACAGAGATGTCCCATACGTACATATTCGAAAACATAACATACAGACTGTAATAAATATACAAACATAATAAAATCAGATACAACAATGATTGCAATCAAATAGATATACCAATTGACGAATCAACACACGTCCATGAATCACATTATCTGAACAAAAACAACTTCAGGTGTCCAGCAACCTTACCATAGTTTCCCCTGTGATTTCCTGACACGTTTTCCTTGACTCCTCAGGTGGGTTTCAGTTATCCTGGAGATGATGGGCAATGTAATCACCTTCGCAGCTGCAATTGTCGGTGTTGCAGGACGGGGCCACATCAGCTCAGGCGTCGTGGGTCTGTCTGTCACCTATGCTATTAGTGTGAGTAGACGTCTTAGAGTGTAAAGGTATTGTGTGATATGGTGATCCAGTTATAGCTGTGGAAGGAGGAGGGGAGGGGGAGAGGGAGAAAAGGAAGAGTCAAGCAATATTGGCGAAAAGGGCGAGAAAGAAAGAAAGAAGAGACAGAGGAAGATACAGACGGAGATAGAGACAGAGGCGGGGGCTGAAAGAGAAACAGTGATATAGACAAACAGGTAGAGATGCACACAGGCACAGAGATACAGCCCCTTACATAAACGTACCAGTAAAATTAGAGAAAGAGACAAACCAAAAATGACCATCGCCCTCATTTCAGGTCAACCTCATCCTGAACTGGGTGGTGCGCGTGGCTTCCGAGGTCGAGGCCAACGTTGTCTCCGTGGAAAGGATTAATGAATACCTCGAGGTGAGGTCTGCAAATTTATAGTGCGCCTAAACTCTAGAAAAGAAGAACTGGCAACTCACTGGTAACTGGAGTACTCCGATTCGCCATTAAAAAAAAAAAAAAATGATAATAAAATGTGATGGCAAGAAATTTTAATCTAAAACGGCATAAGAAATTTTCTATACACATTTTGTACTACAAATACATGTGAACATATGTATGAATTGTCAAATAGTGAGGATAAAAAGAGACTTGGCGATTCGGAGTAATTCAGCGTCCAGGAGAGTTACCAGTTCGTTCTTTCCTTTGTTTCAGCTGGCATGTCCCTGTCGACGTTTCCTTTTCTATTCTTAATTTCATTTTGAGTTGAATTTTTGTAGACCTTAAGCATGGATCATGAATGAATTATTTTCTTTAACTGTGGCAAAGGTAATTCATTGACTTGATAGTGAAAATATGATGTACTGGTTGTTTTCTTCCTATGATTAATGTTGGCAATGTCTATAACATTCCCATTACAACATTTATTCACTTTCGTCACATCAATATGCTGAAAACTTTATCCAGAACTTGAAGAACTTTAAATTTAACATACACAATTTAAAAACAGCAGATGTATAATTATCATAGATTCATTCACGTTTATTATTAATCCTGTTCTTCTTATATAATTTTATTATCGACGCTCAAGCAGTATGTGAACTAAACATTAGCATTTCCTAACAATATACATATATATATATATATATATATATATTTTTTTTTTTTTTTTTTTTACAGAATGAGCGCGAGGCAGACTGGACGGCGGCCGACACGCCCTCCGCCTGGCCCGACGAAGGCAGCGTCTCCTTCAGGAACTACCAGACGCGCTACAGACCCGGCCTCGACCTCGTCCTCAAGGGCATCACGTGCTCCTTCAGACCGGCCGAAAAAGTGAGACAGAATGTGCATTGAAATCCTTATATAGATAGAAATCCGTAGAGTATCAATAAATAAAAGTAAATGAATATGTGAATATTAATGCATAGTTAAATAATGGAATTAAAGTACCGAAATAATCAAATGCATGCGGAGAAATAACTCAAAACAATAATATAATTCAAAACATAATAAACAGATAGCTTATTAAAATGCATTATAGTAACAATAAAAAAGAAAGAAAATGAAAATAGAAAAGAAAAGAAAAGAAGAAAAAATAGCACCACGAGAACTCCAATTGGCCTTTGCCTTCGCCCCACAGGTAGGGATCGTGGGCCGGACGGGAGCCGGCAAGTCCTCCCTCACTCTGGGGCTGTTCCGGCTGATCGAGGCGGCGGCAGGGGAAATCGCCATCGACAAGGTCAATATCGCTGACGTTGGCTTGCATGACCTGAGGGGAAGGGTCAGCATCATTCCGCAGGTCAGTCGTGTTTTGCCTCTGCTATGGATTCTTCTGCTTTGTCCGTTATCGCATTGTTGATATTATTGTCATCTTGATTATTATCATCATCCTCATTGCAACCGAAACTGAAGTCCTTACCATCTTTACGAAACAACTCCCTCATACCAACCTCCACCTCACTCTCCTCCTTGCATCAACCCTCCCCCCTCCTCACCAACCCTCCTCACCACAACCCCTCTCATCACACTTCACCCTCCTCATCACCACTTCACCCATCCCCTCCTCACCACCACGTCACCTCCTCACCATCACCTCACCACCACCTCACCCCTCACACCTCACCCCTCACCCTCCCCTTCCACCCCCAGGACCCGGTTCTCTTCAGCGGAACCCTGCGCCTCAACCTCGACCCGCTGGACCGCTGTTCCGACGCCGAGGTGTGGCGCGCCCTCGAACTCGCTCACCTCGCCTCCTACGTCCGCACTCAGCCCGCCGGCCTCCTGCACCCGGTGGACGAGGAGGGCGCCAACTTCAGGCAAGTGGGGGAGAAAGAGCGCGGGGGGGGGGGGGGTATCAGGAAGGGGAGTGTAGGAAGTTCAGGCGAAGAGAGGCCTTAAGGGAAAGGGTGGGGAACTTCAGACGAATGGAGAAAGTGTGGGGAACCTTAGGCGAATGGAAGACTTAAGGAGGGGGCAGAAACTTCAGACGAGGAACTTCAAACGAAGGGAGGAGAAAGAGTGGGGGATTTCTTAGGCAGAAGGGGCTCATAAACTTCTGGAGAGGGGAGGAGAAAGGGGAAATTCTGAGGCGAGTAGAAGTATTGGGGAAATAGTAGGAACTTCAGACCAGGGGAGGGGAAAGAATGAGAAACTTCTCAAGCGAGTGGAAGCCTTATGACAAGAGCATAAACTTCAGGCGATGGGAGGAGAAATAGTGGGGAGCTTCACGTGAGCGATTGCCTTTGGAATAGAAAGGAGAACTTCACGTAAGGGAAATCTTTGGGGAAGTGTGCAGCTTTGGAGGAAAATTGTTTGGCTCGGATACCTGCTGCTCTAAGTGCCTGGTGTGTCTAGCAGGGTGTGTAGGTACGTGTGGGGTTGAAGAAGTGTAATGAATTGGTTCAGGGGAAAGCGAAGGACTTAAATCCAAATTAAATATTATTCGATATATTATGACTTAGATTATATCCAAATCATCTGGAAAGTTTCTGTTGCAATAAACTTTATTTCAAATAGATATCCTTTTTTGCATTATATCCTCTTTAAATGGAGTAAACCGTGCCATTTTTAAATCAGCCAATCATATGTCATTTTTTATCCTTACTGACTCGCCAAACATTACATTTAAAAAGGTTGTGACATTTTTTCGCCCTTCTCTGAACTGACCTGACCCGTTCCAGCGTCGGCCAGAGGCAGCTGGTGTGCCTGGCCCGCGCCCTCCTGAGGAACTCCCGCATTCTGGTCCTGGACGAGGCCACGGCCGCCATCGACCTGGAGACGGATGACCTGATCCAGGCCACCATCAGGTCGCAGTTCGCGCACTGCACCGTGCTCACCATCGCGCATCGCCTCAACACCATCATGGATAGTGACAGGTGGGCGGGG